ATTGGCTGCCATATGATGAAGTCTGGACTATCCTGCTGGATGATGAAAGAAATGTGTTCCAGTCATTTCTGTCACTATAGCCAATAGTCAATTAACATTCTTACACACAGATACCCAGCAAGTCCAGCTAACTCCAGACAAATGACTGAAACCAGGTGGAACCAGAAGAATAATGAATCAGCTAAGACCAACTCAAATTGTTAACTCAGAATCATGAGCTAAATAAATATTTGTTGTTTTAACTCACTAAGTTTTGGGATGATTTGTTATGCAGTAGATAGTAACTGATACATGTCCCTTTATTATTTCATGGAATGGAACAAAAGGTATATCACAGAACAGTTATTGCACATATGATAACAATTTGATTCAGTCATTAGAAGTGTCATGCCTGGAATAATGGAATAAAAAACACCATTGCTACCTACACTTGTATTAATGTTTCTGGGAAAATAACTTTGTTATTTTGGAATTCCTAAAGGACTTTGTTAACCACTATGGCAATCCCCTAAAATACTTCACAGCATCAGAAAAAAGACAATAGTCACAACGTGTCTTGATCTCATCCCCTCAGTCAGTGGGGAGCCATTTTTTGGTCTGGTGGAATTCCTTGGCTGTCAAAAGGAAGTTTCTCTAAGTGTCTAAGAAACAGCCCCAAATTTAAATCACTTGCTGTTTCCTCAGTGTCATTAAGAAGTACTTTTATGGACAAGGAATTAAAAACAATATTCTTTATATTACCATTATAATCAAAGCTCACTCTAAAAGTATTAATAGAGTATGCACTGTTATTTTGACCAAGATTCCTATTAAAAAATAGCTTCTGGTGTTTTATCACTGCTGTTGTTGCAACAGAGGAACACAGTTATGTGGTAGAGCTCATTTCCCCAGACATCTCCACCACCTGTCAAAGCACTGGACCTACCAGGATAGACAAGTCTGCCTCTCTTGACACCACCTCCCAAGTTCTATTGTAAGAGATTTCCTCTGGAGACCTTTGCAGAGTTCTAAACTCCACATCAACTGGCTGATGTCGCTATGTTAAAAACTGTTGCAATGAAATGGACTCAGGAATAGACTGCAGGAACTATGGGTTCAAAGATACTATGAATCAAAAAATTGCAATTAAATACTGGTTGTATTTATTCACAAGGTCAGTCAAAACCCTTTGCAAGTGTTTAAGAAGGAGGAATAGACTTCTTTTGAGTTCAGTCCTTTATGAAGCAACAGGAAGGAAGTTGACTGAGGAGTAAGAAGACATTCAGATTATCTGTTCATCTCTTACTGACCTTGACATAGTGTGGTTATTTAAAGAAAGTGTATGGATGTACGGTATGAAGGGGTGGATAAAAGCCACATGAGTGAATGGAATGATGGAGACATTCAACAATTTCTTTTACTTTTTCAATATAGTAACTATTCTGAGCCTTAAACTGCAGGCACATCCTGCAGTTGGGAACTGATTATTCAAAAACACTAACATACCTGGGGAATGGCTGGAGGAGGTGGATCACTGGGGACATGCCCTGAAAAGGTTCATCTTTCCTATGGTCCCTTCTTTCTCTTTCTACTTACTGGCCACCATGAATGGAGTAGCACTCTTCCATCACAAACTTCTTACATGATGTTCTGTCCCATCTTGGGCCCAGAGCAAAAAAAAAAAAAAGTGGGCTCACCATGGACAAAACCTCTGAATCCATGAGCCAAAATAACCTTTTTCTCCTCTAAGATGTTTTTGTCAGGCATTTTGGTCACAGTGACAAATAGCTCTCTAGCTCACCATCTTACTATCATAAGTAAAGACCATTTTAAAAATATTAATGTAATGTAGGCAGCATTTTTGTGACTAAAGATTCCCACTGTCATATTATTAAAAGAATTGTTTCTGGAGGGACCCCAGCAGAACTTTCTGCATCCACTTTGGTCCTATCCACATGCACTTCACCATCTCCCCTCCATCTCTCCTGTATCTTTGTCCCAATCTGCAGCCAGAGCACCTTCTCCAAACACAGATCAGAAGATAGCCCTCCTGCCTAAAACTCTTTCATGATTCTTCATGGCCAATTGTGAAGTCAAGACACTCTGTCTGCAGTTCCCAATTCCTTCAAAGTATGTCCTGCTCGCTTTGTGTTGTCTTGTGAATGAAACTTTGGAGTATTCTCTTAGTTACTCTGAAGAGTCTACCAAGGTTGTCTAGCAGTATGGCCCACGTGGTGTGACAGGAATGAGGCTAGAGCCAATCACGGTGACAGTTCCAAATGGGTTTTCCAGTCCCCAGCCCACTCCTCCTGAGGGTTCCTTCTGAGCTCTTCATCTGTCCTTCCTGTCTTATAGGCATCCAAGTTTTTAACCTGCCTAAATCCAGCCTCCCTGAAATGGCTGAGGTCCTCAACAGTGGGACCTCACTTTCTTCTGGGGCATGTTGCTCCCATGCTCACCACAATCCCAGGGTTTCAGTATTCCCAACCAGTTACTGAGCCTTGCAGACTCCTACGTAATCTGTCTCAGGGTTTCCATGTCCCTTTGGGCTAGGATTCTCCCTATCACCCTACAAGCCTCCTTATACTTGTTCTCAAGATGCAGGGTTATAGATGCCCTTTCTAAAATGCCCTCATTCCACACACTGAGTTTGGAGCCCTGTCCTCTTGTTGGGATGCATTCGGAGGCAACAGGTTATTCCTTCATCAGGACTCCTGTGCTAAGTTCAAATTGCACTTGGATGTGTCTGCTTTCCAGAACTCATGCTGGCCAGACAGCATTTAGGCTTCTGCTTTCAGCCAAACCCTCAGACCCTGGAAAACAGCAGACACTTGACACAGGCTCTTGAGCAGAAGCCAATGCACCCTCCCAATTTCCACAAGGCTCTGGCAGACTTCATGACCCTTCTTCTCCACTTTACAGGTATCAGCAGGTTAAGCTCTCTCCTCGGACTTCCTGCTTGCCTGTCAGGTCTGTACGCCCTACAGAGAATTGTTCCAACATCCAGTTTTATCTCTCCACTTCTGAATTCCCTCCTGACTACAGCCATCTCTCTCCAGCTGCACCTGGACTTATCTGGGGCCTCTGGTCCTGACTCTGCTGGTCTCCTAGGCCTTTCCTTCACCCTACTTTATGGTTTCACTGGCCTCTCCACCCAGTCTGGGGCCCCCTGTGGGTGAGTACTAAAGTTTGGATCTGGCTGTCACCAGAAAGCTCCTGTGCTGAAAGCCTGGTCCCTGATGCAGCAAGATTCAGAGGTGGTGCTTTTAGGCAATGAATGGACCGGAGATGGAACCCAGTTGAAGGAAGTATGTCACTGGGGGCATGCATTAAAGGGTCTTTCTTTTCCCCTGCCCCTTCCCCTTTCCAGCTACCATGAGCTGAGAAGCTTTCCTCCACCACATCCTTCTGCCACCATGTTTCTGCCTTGGAGCCAGCTAACCATGGACTGAATTCTCTGAACTTTCCTCCAAGTTGTTCTGGTCAGGTATTTTGGTCACAGGATTGAAAAGCCGACTACCACAGTAGAGCTGATTCTATCCAGACCTTCTCCTTCTTTTTTTTCTCCCTCCCCTTCATTTTACAGGCAGAGGGCTCCTACTAGGAGCCTCACTTGCTGATAGATGGCCACACCCTGCTGGGGAAAGTCATGGAGCCAGAGGTCAGACCATATTTTCAGAGAGACTATCAATGCAACTTGGCAATTTCTTTAGAAGTCTCTTCTAGAACATTCAACTACCTCCCAGTCATTACTCTCAACTATCTCTAAACTCCTCATGTCCTTGAAGCTCCCCTAGATGCATCGATCCTTGGCCAACATGGACCAACAATGGACCCCTCATTTCTTTTCTCTTCAGTCCAGAGCACTGCAGTAGATTTCCCTTCCCACCTGTCTTTTCTCTCTCAGACAAGCAGCAAGCTGACCTCTCCTGCACATGTAAGTGGTGTGCATCCTTTACTTCCCCAGAAAGCAACCCTAATTCTGATTTTTTTTTGCCATGAACATCTACCTCCATCTACAAATTGTTCTTGCCCACCTTAGCCAAAAACAAACAACTTTTTCCTTTTGACCACATTCAAACTGCAAATATTTGCACTTTGCTTCTCATCAAATTGACCAAAAATGTGACCCCCATCCCTTCCTGCCACTCATGTCCTAGGAAATTACCCTACTTGCAGTGGAGTAACTTCTCAAGCTTGGACAATAGCCTTCTAGCTGACAACCTTGCATATCTGCTCTCACCCTCCCACCTAGCACATCTTTGCAAGAACAGATGTCCTGCAACCTTCAACCACTGTGCCCTATCACATCATGTCTAATATGTGCACTTCAGCACATGCGATTCAAAGGCTCTCATTCTTCCCTACTCTACTAAATAAATAATCTGCCTTGGGTTGGGGATGTAGCTCAGTGGTAGGGTGCTTGCTTAACATATGCAAAGTCCTCAGTTCAAACTCCAGCATTAAAAAAAAAAAAGATTTGTCTAATAATCCAATTCATCTTCCCTTTTCAATTTCTGTTTCTTCCAGCAGATTTTAGTAATCCTGATAATTCCTTAATAGAAACTTTGAAATTCCAAGTTAAGGGAACCACATGTGTCAGCAAAAGCACTTCCCCAGTTGTCACCACACATGCATCTCCAGCCTTGTATGGTTCTAGGACCATCTTGCTCATTTTTGCCACTGGCTTCTCTCCCTCATCCTTCATGAGTCATTCAACAGCAGGATCCCCGGCCGACCCACTAGTGCTGGTGTCTATTGCCCATCCCTGTGGCTTACTTTGGGTCATCTCTGACCAGATTGACTGCTGATGTCCCCTTGATTCTTTATCCAGCTCATCTTTCTCCATTCCTTCCATCCTTCATAATTACTCAGGAGTTAAAGAGCACTAAGAATGCTTTCAATTTCCCTGCATTTCTGTATGCGAGTTTCATTCCTTAACTTTTGCTGGACACTCACTAGTACCCACCAAACCCCACTGCTCCATTCCAGAAGGTTCCCCCATAAGCACATCCTCTGACCTCCAGCTCCTGTAATTCTTCTTCCTCCTCCACATCGTAGGACAAGGTGTGGATTTTGATGTCATCAGCTGAGAGGTCAATGAACTTCCCATCTGGGTACTCCAGGCTGTCTTTGGTGGGTGACCGGTCCTCAATGAAGGTGGTCTCACAGCAGTCGGCAGCCACGCCATCCCCCCAGGAGCGCAGCACTCCTTCCGAGTAGAGGATGATATTGGGACGGTAATGGGACTCCACCGACTGCTGCAGAGTGTTGGGATCCAGCAGCTGTTGCACAGGCTCATTTCTGCTGCTGTCCAGGCTGGCTGGTGCTGTGCTGGCCACCACCCTGCGGCTCTGGTACTGGGGCGCTGGGTAAACAGACACCAGGCCATCTCTACTCTCAGCCATGAAATTTCTGGTATTAATCAATCCATTCCTCTTACCAGCATCACTGATCTTACTGTGCACCAGCACACTCTTCTGTTCGATGATGCCATCCATGGTCCTCTTCCTCCCCAGCTGGGCGTCAGGCTGGTGAGCTGGACTCACAGGTCACACTTGCCTCATAGGACCCATTTCTCCTGGAAGAGGAGAAAACAGAGATGAGCTAAAAATTTCACTTGAAACAAACATAAAGTTCATTATCCAGACCCATATTGTTTCAGATTGTACAGTCAACCAGTATGCATAGTGGCTGTGAAAATGAGATAAATATGCAGTCCTACCTGTTCCTGTGAATTTTAAAAAGGTTCTCTCAGGGCAGGCAGCCAGAGTAAGCCTGAAATTGATTACTTGCATCGCTAAAGTCTCTGCTTCCAAATGAAGGAAACTGCAAGAACTGGATCCACTGCAGCCCTATAGAACCTCCGATTGCTAACAGACATCCTGAAACCCACAGGTAAACTCAATCACATTAGCATATCCCTTGTCCACAGGGAAATAAGACTGCAAATCTGTGATGTGGATTGACTATTCCCAGGTACAGTGCTATTCATTCAAGCAGAAAATCACACACCCAAGGAAGAAAGGGCTTAAAATAATGTTCCACGCGGATTTAGAAGATTAGTGATAGGAAGACCTATACCATGAGTACTGTACCTGTACAAAATTCCCCCAAGGAGACGCATTTGCATGTGTGTACTGGTACATTCTAGTGTGCATATTAAAATGAGCTCAACACTTACACATGCTTCCTGGGTTCCCAGCATGGCCTCTGGAATCTCGCTAAAAACTCCCCTGCTTTGATTTACTTGATTTTGTAAGACACCTACACATTTGCAATACCATTAAGAAGTACTCCAAACTGTTTTCTCCCTAGATTGTGTTCCTATTTTTCTAGGCATGCAAATCTGAAAAAAGAACAAGAGAAGAGGGTGGGAGCGGGGCAGGGAGAAAGGCAAGAAGAAGGAAAAAGAGAGAGGGAGGACGAAGAGGAAAGAAACTAGAGCTTAAAATTTTCGGAAAGATAAAAAATGAATTTCCCCAGGCTTTCTCTGTTTGCAAGTTAATAACTGTTATGCATGAAAGCATTTCATCTAGGGAACTTCTGGTGTTCTGACTTCCTACAAGATTTAAGACTTTTCTTAATTCTAACTGCTTTATTTGGTGGCACACACAGTAATCTAAAATTGAAGACTGCCCAAATGAAAAGATGTACAGGTGACACCTTTGGGACTAATTGAAAAATCTGAAAGAACATTTTCAAATGACTAGTTCAAACTTTAGTACATGCACTAAGAGACAATGAGTATTATTAATATGACACTGTGTACAATTTAAAAAAAGGTCAAAAACAGACTATCACCTCTGTTTATATGTTTTGAAGTATCTCTCTCTGGAGGCACATTCAGTCTGAGAACTAGAATTATTAATTAAACTATTTGAATAGAGACCTTCCAATGCCTGTAACATGCCAAACAGCACACATTTGGGGATCACCTCTGTGCTAAATAATCTTTCAAGCCATCACAATGTGCTTGATGGAATATTTCTAGTTCAATTACTCAACTTCTCCAGTATTCCTCCTTCCACAAAGAAGCCACTGGTTTGCTATCCAAAATGGGTTCCTCCTATTCTTTGTGATCTACTGGATGTGCCAGCCAGTAAGTCTAGAATAACGTTTAAGCTCAGCTTAATTTCTCTGACTGAGCACCCTTTACCCAGATCAGCTGTAAATATCTTGCAGAACATATGTGATTGTGTTTGTTCAGATTCCATTTCCTTCATGAAGTTGTGTGCTCTTGTCCAACCAGAAGTAACCTTTTCATTTGCTATTGTGGTCTCTTGTCTCTTCTTGCTTTCTTCTTACAATGCCTATTGCGTTCTTCTCTCCCAATGGGACACTGCTCCTCCAGTTCTGAAAAGTCCTTAAGACCAAAAAATCAATATCAACACTTCTCCCTTTTCTTGCACCTGGTAGTCAAGAAACATGCAGTGAAATAAACAGTCTCTAGTGTTATATGATGAGAATGATCCCTACTCAGTGACAATCTTCCTGAGCTGTGTTAAGTCTCAAAGTTGGATCCAGTATTAAGGCATTTTGAGATAGGCACAGCTTAATCTCTTCCATGCTCTCTACAGTTTACCACTCAAAGTACTGCTGAGACCCAGCAAACTCAGCACCACCTGGGAACTTGTTAGAAATACAAAATGGCAGGAGGTGTATGTATCTCAGTGGGATAACACCTGATTAGCATGGACAAAGCCCTGTGTTCAATCTCTAGCATCACAAAAATAACAGCAACAACAACAACAAAAACAGAACCTTGAGTAGGACTCATATCTCTTGAATTAGAGCTTCATTTTAACATGGCACCTGTGGATTATTCACTTTAAGTATACTTAAAGCTTAAAGGGCACTGTTACATGGTGTATAGTTGGTCTATTGAATAAGTTACTTGATTTTTACAGCTGATTATTTACTTTCTTTTAAAAAGTATTCTGATGAATACAGGATGAGCATCCCTTATCTGAAAATTCAAAATACAAAATGCTGCAAAAATCAAACATTTTCATCACTGACCTGACACTGCAAGTGGAAAATTCCACACCTGACCTCACATCATGGACTGAAGTTGAAACACAAGTACACTAAAGATATCATATAAAATTTCCTTCAGGCTAGGTGTATATGCAGCATAAGTGAACTTTGTGTTTAGACTTGGATCTCCTCAAGATACCTCATTATATATATGAAAACATTTCAAAATCTAAAAAAAAAAAACAAACAAAACAACTATCTGAAATTTGAAACATTTTTTTCTGGACCTAAGCATTTTGGATCAGGGATACTCAATCTGTATATCACATACATTCTTAAATAACAACTTTTTTCTTATTGAATTGAATTTTAGAGCTTTGAGCAGCACAAATGATGCTTAAGCATGAAAGAAAAGGGTTGAAGTTAATGGAGTTTTATTTTCATTGTGACAGCATCCTTCAATATCTCTTTCAAGACAGCCTTGATGTCTGGATTGCCTTTAACTTTATAATTCCAATGAGCTCATTTCCATCCATGTTTACTTCTACCCACTCCTACCTGTTGACAGTATTTCCCTGAATCCAAGTTCATCAATTTGGAGATAAAACACAATGGTCCAATAACGCTGCCATCTAAGATAATTTTTGTGGCTCTGCAGAAATGCACACGGGAGTCGTGTCCCAGAACAGTCTATTATCCTCCCAATGTCTGTTCTGGCAGACACTTCTGTTACCTTTGTATTTTTCTCAGTCTACAGTATTCAAGAGCAGTGGCTACAAAGTTTAAAACTCCTTGCTAACACTTTCTTTCTGCATAAATATTCTCTGCTGTGTCTAGGATACTGCCTTGTCTTGACAACTTGATTGGACTCCTAATGTCAACCTCTTGGTGAGATCTTAGAGACTGTGTTTTGAGTCAGAGGCAGCTCACTGAAGTGCATCACCAGCCAATCATGCTACATCTGCTTCTTTATTGATGATAGCAGCAGGAGGAGAAGACAAGGTGAAGAGGGGCTTCTGTGGTCCTGCATTTGAGTCCCCACTGCTCTGTTCCTCCTTCCCTAGTTCCTGGACTCTCTCTGAACCCTAAGAATCTCCTGGTGAGTTAAAAACATATATACCTGTTCATGAATTTAGATGAAGATAAGTGGATTAAAAAAATTGATAGGGATGGTGAAAAAAAAAACAGAAAGACAGAAAGAGGGTATGCAACATCTTCTGTACCAATTACTTATTCTAAAAAACATATTTTTCTTCTCTTGGAAACTGGCATGGTTTAAAGAGAGTCAGGAATGTGAGGATTTAACCACAGTTTTGCTACTAAATGTTTGTGTGGTCATAGGCAAGATGCTTATGAAGGTGGGATTATTGATGGAGCAATTGAACAAAAATGTTTTAAGGTTCCTTTCAGCTCCATGATTTATACATCTTGGATCCAGAGTCCTGGGTATATGGAATTAGCTATAGCTTTTCCACAAAATTGTATCAGTAGTGAATTATAACAAGCAGTTAAGAACTAGAACCAATTCCCACTCTCAAAAAAAAAAAATGAAGAGGAAGGAATACTTCCTAACTCACTGAGAAACTACAATTACCCTTATACTAAAACCAGACAAGAATGCAACATGGAAAGAAAACTACAGATCTATATTCCATATGAGTATTGATACAAAAGTTCTTAACAAAATTCTTGCAAATAGAATAAAGAAACATATAAAAAATACCATGATCCAATGGGAATTTATTTCTGGAATATAAGAATGGTTCAACATCAATATATAAAAACCAATCAGTGTAATATACCACACTAGTAGAATGAAGGACAAAATACATGTGATCATCTCAGTTGGTTCAGAAAAAAAACTGACAAAATTTGACATCTTTTCATGATAATAATCCTCAAGAACTATTAATTGAAGAAAACTATTTTAAGGGGCTGGGGTTGTGGCTCAGCGGTAGAGTGCTGGCCTCACACAAGCGAGGTCCTGGGTTCGATCCTCAGCATCACATAAAAATAAATAAATAAAATAAAGGTATTGTGTCCAACTACAACTAAAAAATAAATATTTTTTAAAAAAGAAAACTATTTTAATATAATAAAAATCACATAAAAAAAATCCCATACTGAACATCCTACTTAACAATGGTCACAAGCTGAAACATTGTCCTCTAAGATCCGGAACAAGGCAACAAGACAAAAATGCCTACTTTTGCTACTTCTGTTCAACATTATCCTGGGAGTTATAGCCAGAGAAATCAAGCAAAGAAAATAAAAGACACTCCAGTTGGAAAGAGAAAAAGTAAAAATATTTCTGTTCACAGATTATATGATCTCATATGTTGAAAACAAGATTCCATACACAAGAACCTGTTAGAATTAATAAGTAAATTTAGCAAAGTAGCAGGATACAAAGTCAATATGCAAAAATCAGTTGCATTTCTATACAAGAACAATAAGCAATTTTTAAATGAATTTACAAAACAATTTCATTCACAATACCATCAGCGCATAGAAATTAATTTAACCAAGGAAGGAGGTGAAAGACTTGTATAATAAAAACTACAAGACGTTGCTGAAAGAAATTAAAGAAGATATAAATAA